CAACCTAGAAAACTGAAATAAATGAGACTAATTATGAAAGAAGTCAGATAATAGGTAACCACACATTTTTGTTGGTGTGTCATAATAAGAACCACTGAAAATCCGCTCCCATGTAAAAGCAATAAAGACACTGCCAAAGATGATTAAAATCAGCTTCTTCACAAGTCCAGAAAATAACCAGAGGCTTGTGACCATCTGAAAGAAAAATGCCTGAGTCATGGTAAGAACAGCAAGCCTTGGGGAGTTTGAACTGACTCCGGTCTCCTCAGCTTCACAGTAGCATTGAAATCTTGAGATCACCACAGCTATGAAAACCAGTAGGCTGGCAGGCACTGAAAAGGAAGAATGGATTTGGAGCCCCCCCTTCCAGGGCAAGAGAATTGTTACTGTTTGGGTTTTTGTTGTTGTTTGTTTTTGACCTTACTCAAAATTAATTCAGGGCCTCCCTGGTGGCGCAGCAGGTTGAGCACCGGGCTGTAAAGCTATCTGCAGCCTCTGCTGCACAGGTTCGATTCCTGGCTGGCCTGGGAGATACCCACATGACGCAGCAGGCCTCTCCTGTCCCACCTGCTGCTCCCCTCAGCAGTGCTTTTGGTTCGTCTGCCTGTTCTGATCCCGGCTCTTTCTCTAGTGAATCTTCTCACCCTCCCACGCCTCTGGCCTGTACACCAGCTCTTGTATAAATAAATAAAAAAACTTTAAAACAGCTTACCCCCACCCTGGATTGTGCCAGCACTCACACAAAGCTCTTTAGTAAAGCTTGGCAACTTACTGATAAAAGACGTTTAAGGAGGTCTCTGTCCAGTTATTAGCTGACCATTAAGCTAACATAGAACATAGACTTGTGTAGCAAGACACAACAAAGAATACAAGGAAATAGAAGTCAGTGGAATAGAATTAAGAATTAGGAAGTAAACCTTCACATTTATGATCAGTTGATTTTTTTTTGTATTTGCAAAAACAATTCAAGAGGGGAGAGAATGGTCTTTTCAACAAATGATGCTGGAAAAAGTTAGCATCTACATGCAGAAGAGTGAAATTGGATATCATTCTTACAATACAATTAACTCAAAATGGATTACATTCCTAATTGTAAAGCTAAAACTATAACATTCTTAGATGGTAACATAGGCGTTAACCCCTTGTGACCTGTACATAACACTAAAAGCTCAAGCAACAATAGAAAATATGGTTAAGTTAGACTTCATCAAATAAAATTTTCTGTAGTTAAAACATGGGCTATCTATGCAATGGAATAAAATTTGTGCAAAAAAATTTATTAAAAAATCTGATAAATGCTACAACATGGATGAAACCTGAAAACTTGTTAAGGGAAAGAAGCCACTCACAGGAGTTGAAGACAGTATGCTGTGGGAAAAAAGCAAGCCACAAAAGGCCACATATTATGTCATATAAAACATCTAGAATATGCAAATCCATAGAGATAGAAAGTAGATAGTGTCTTAGGGAAGGGTGAAGGAAGTAGTTAGCATGGAGTGACTGCTAATGGATTTGGGATTTCTTTTTGGGAGGATGAAAATCCTCTGAACTTAGATAGCAATCAGTATACAACTTTGTCAATATAATAAAAACCACTGAATTGTGGTTTTAAAGCTTTAAAAGGATGAATTTTAGAATTATGGTATTATGTATCAATAAAAGTCTTATTTTTAAATCTTGATGCAAATATAGGGGTGGGTTTTTTTTTTTCCATTACTCTTTTTTTTTAATTAATAATAAATTTTATTTTTATATTCCCCATACAATTTCAACCCCCCCATTCTGACCCCAGTCCCCCCCCACCCCCCAAAAAGTGTCTCTGGTTCATAGTTTTTTGTTGATTTTGATTTTCACTTTCTTATATTCATTTTCCTGGTCCCTTATTTAAGTTTTCTAGATTCCTGCTATGAGTGAGACCATCCGGTATTTTTCTTTTTCTTTCTGGCTTATTTCGCTGAGCATGATCCCTTCCAGCGCCATCCATGTTGCTGCAAATTGCATGTGTTTATCTTTTTTAAATGCTAAGTAATATTCCATGGTATATATGTACCACATCTTCTTGAACCAGTCATCTATTTTTGGGCATCTGGGCTGTTTCCAAAGCTTAGCTATTGTAAATAGTGCTGCTATAAACATAGGGGTGCAGGTGCTCTTTGGAATTGATGTTTCTGTGTCCTTTGGGTAAATACCTAGGAGTGGAATTGCTGGATCATATGGAAGCTCTATGTTTAGTAGGTCCAGAAATCTCCACACAGCTCTCCATAGTGGTTGGACCAGTTTGCACTCCCAAGGGGTGGGTTTTTTTGTGTGTGTTGTTTGTTTCTTGCCTCCCCTTATTGTTCCAAATTGAAGTTAGAAAGACCAAATATGAGTTTGGAACATCAAAGATACAGACTGTTAGCCGCCTAACAAATAGATTTAGAAACTATTGAACTCTGAGCTTTTAACCACAATGCTGTGAGGGCATGCTCTTTGCATTAAGGCAATTTTCAGGCATTCCTTTTGTTACTCGGGCATAGTGAATTGCCAGCATCCTCAGCAGGTGTATTATTGGTGCCTTTCCCATTTGCTTTTCTGATCCATTCTATTTCACAGTACTCCCTTTCTTCTGTTCCTTAGCATGCTACCGCTCTTTTGTGGTCTTCTGACTCTGAAATCTTATTTCATTCCTGCTCTCTCAGACCATAACCCTCCCCCACATACTCAAGGTTACCCTCTTTTCTGTCACCCACATCAGAATTATTTCTGGCTGTATCTGCTTTGAATTATTATCAACTGATGGAAATTTTTCATGCTAAGGCTAAAGTTAAAGACTACTAATGGAAACTAAGTCCTTCAGCATACATTTGTTTTAAGATGGAAACTGGGCTTTTTATACTCCTGCCATCTGTGCTGTATATTGTATATATGGATGTTGAAGTATTCATGTATGGTATATATAATGTGTATGCAGGTGTTGAAATATTAAACTGTATAACTGAAACTTATGTAACGTTACAAACCAGTGTTACCTCGAAAGGGTTTTAAGAGGCAAGACAGGAAAAAAAAAAACCCAGCAGGTCTATTTTTATTCCCTCAAAAGGCCTGGAAACAATGAAAAAATTCACGTTGCCTCCCGGGGGCCTGTCTAAAAACATTTAAAGAAATCAGAGCACCTTGGAGAAATGTCTAATTCCAAATAGAAGGCCAGGAAACTTACCAAAAGGAGTCTAGAACATTTTGTTAGAAAGTGAGAAGACTGTAATGACACGTGTTGAAGAACTCAGGAGCCAAATTAAAAGGGTTCCCAGTGACTAAATGTGATAGCATTTAAGCATCAAAAAGAAAATGTATTGAAATGGACTGGAGCACATTACATGTAAGGGTCCCTTGTGCTACTTTCAAACAAAAGGTCTCTAGGGGAGGTTGCATAGAAACAAATTTATTAATTTGAAAACTGCCACATACAGGGAAAGAATCAAGCATTTATTCTGCATTTCCTATATGACTTTTATCTTGGCATAATCAAATAGTTAATGTGGAAAAAAATACTACCATTTTTCAACCTTTAATGAAAAAATAGCTCTAGGTAACAATGACTAGTGTGTGCTAAAACATCACACGAAAAAGTACATGGGGAACTTTTAAGAGATGAGTCAGCCTAAGAGCATTTACTGATCAGTTGTACTATCACAAGAAAACAAAATGCATGTACGCCTTGTGGTGGGAAGCACACAGTCCCACCTGTGACATTGCTAAAAATTCTAACTTGAATATGATCAAACCTCAAAAATCTGATTACAAAAAATAGGGGAGTTAGAAAAATATGTTAACACTATGGGAGGCATTTAGCAAAATCTGGAATGAGGGAAATTCTAAAAAACTAATAACTTTGCTTCCACTAATAAATGACAAGAAAAAAAGGGGAGATTTACACAGGACACATCAATCATATTCAATATATGTACTTTTTTAGAATGAACCAGCTGTAAAAATAAAATTATGCAACCCTTCAGGAAATTGAGTTATAAATATTTGATCACAGAATGTTGATATCAAGGACAATTTTTTTAGTTGTATTAATGGTATTCTTATTGTGATTTTGAAAAGTTATTTTGAGATGCGTACTAAATACATATTTATGAATGAAGTGATAAAATGTTTTCAGTTTGCTTTAAAATAAACCAGTTAGGGTCTAGAGAGTAAATGGTGTTCAGAGGAAACAATATTTATTGACCATGTATTGTTGAAACTGGGTAGTGAATCCATGGAGGTTTTTTTTTGGGGGGGGGGCCCTCACCGGTGGCGGGGGTATGAACCGGCGCTGCAGAGGCTGCGGGCAGCCTCGCAGGCCAGCACTCAACCGCTGCGCCACCAGGGGAGGCCATCCATGGAGCTTTGTAATGCTACTCTCTATAGGTGCTTAAAATTTAGATTTTGAAACTTAACTATGTATACTCATATACACTTTTACATATATAGTTCTGTGTATTTATATAATTTTAAAATTATACAATTCATGACTAAATTATACAATTCATGACTAAAATTATACAATTCATGACTATAATTTTAAAATTATACAATTCATCTATGGTTGATTTCTAATTAGAGAATTATGGCTTGGAAAGAATGAGGCTTTCTAGAGCCTCTTGCTGGCCATGGCAGCCCCCTTAACCAGTGTTTACTAGAATAGTGTTAGCAACTTGGCCTCTTGGTTTATCACTTCTGTCTACTTACTTAGACAGATGGGTCCCCGATACAGAATATTTCCACCAAAACCATTTTTGTAATGAAAAGGCATACACGAGAAGTAATTTTATAAAACTTATTCTATTGATAAACTGTTTAGGTTCTAAAAGCAGCAGCAAGTGTAGCACCTTAAAATAGTTTATGTATTTTCCATACAGAGTGTGTATTTTTAAATGCATTAACTTTTATGAAATGTATACCTTGCAAGTTATTTCTCATTTTAGGACATTAGGTTTTATTTCTCTGAAACAGTTTTCTTTCTTTTCTAGGAAGTTGTTTTAGGTTATGTGAAAGAGATGCCTCCTCATTGCTGAGGCTTACCAGAAACTCTTACTTGAAGAGAATAAATGGATTTTGTACCAAACCACAGGGAAGTCCAAAAGCTCCATCCCGTAAGTTCTCATTTGTTTTTCTATTTTTGGTTTAGGCAGCTCCCAAAGATTAACTTGAAACCAAAAGAACCTAAAAGAAGTGATCATACCCTATCTTGTCATCCAGGCCTCCCAATTGTGCCTGTGATTTCCTCATTTGTAATTTTTATTTCTTGATTGAAGGTTTTAGATTGGAATATTATATAGCAGAATAGATGCACCAAAGAAAGGTCTAGAAATTATCTTTTAAGACTCATCTTAGGGGGCCTCTCTGGTGGTACAAGAGGTTAAGTCCAGCACTATGAAGCCATCAGCAGCCACTGCAGCATAAGTTCAGTCCCTAGCCAGGGAGCTAACCCATATAGCACAGCAGACCTCTCCTCTCTCATCCACTGCTCAGCAGTGTATTTTAGTAGATCTGTCCATTCTGCTCTCCATTCTGTCTCTGGTGATTCCTCTCTCACACACACCCCACACTTCTGGCCTGTACCCCAGCTCTTGTATGTATAAATAAAATAAATCTTAAAAGAAAAAAGACTCACCTCAAAAATGAACCAAATTAAGAAATTATGTTTTGGGTAAAATATAACCAGGGCTAAGCTCTGACTTGAGCATTTACATCAGCTATGTTTAGCCCTATCAACAAGTGAAATTTTTGTCACTAAGGGAATTGGCTATTGGAAGAAGGGACATAATCTATAAATTGTAGGGTCCCAGGACCTGTTTGCTCATTGCTTCTTCATGGGAATACTCTAGGGGCAGGTAGGTATTGGTGATTGTAGAGGAACTATCCTCAAAGAGTATTTATCAAGAATTTTAAAAATATTTATACCCGTGGACTTGGTATTTCAATTCTGGGATTTGTCCTAACTGTCCCTAGATGTAGAAAAACTTTGAATATAAAGATTTTCCTATATATAAATAGGAAAATGAGAAATATTAAATGTCATATAATCCAAGAATAATTAATTATGTGGATGAATTTATGCAGCTGTTAGAAGTGGTACTTGGAAATACCGTATACCAGGATAAAAAAAAGTTTATTTTTATGTTAGAACAAAGCAGGATGCAAAACTTTTTGTGTAAGCACAAGCATGAGACACATGTAAATTGCACATGCATATAGACTTATGGGGATAAAAATTAGTAAACACACCAACATAAAATGATTATGCTATGACAAGAGAATTAGGGGTGGTTTTATCTTTCTTTTTTCACATCCATATTTTATGAATTGTCTTCAGTGCATATTTAGTACTTAAAATGAAATGAAAAAACCTATGGAGAGAATTGCTCCTAGTTCTCAAAGGGTTAAAAGATAAAACTACAGCAATGCTGTATCTATACCACTAAACATTTTTTCTCATCTTTAGTTCTTTGTGAGTGTATTTCCAAGTGACTCTCCTGTTCCTTTAGCTGTAGCATAAGCAAAGATGTAGAGGTGGGAAGGCGGAAATGAATGTGACAGAGTTAACAGTCAAGGGGATGGTCTCATCGCAAGAGAGATGCATACAGGACATGAAAGTTGGATGAGATTGTCCATTCTGTGAGATGATGTTCTGTGACTCCCAAATTCTCCTCCTTATCTTCAACTTCCTCTTTCTGTGAACAACTCTGACAGTATGTGTTTCTGTATCTCTCTTGTTCTTCTGTCTGTCTGACCACTCCACTTGTCTCTGCTGCCTCTTTCTCCCCTGCCTCCTTCCCTCCCATCTCCATTTTTGGGCGATGCCTTTGACCTTCAGCCTTTCTTTATCACCCTTGCTGACTCTCCCTTTGCATAAATGGATATCTCTACTCCTGATTTATTAGTGAAATCAAATGAAACTGACTCAGATGACATAAATTTAGACCCATTAGATCTAAAATGGCATTCATGCTTTTCCTTTCCTAACTGGCTCTTTCACGTTTTCCTTATTTTGATTAACAGTACCGCTTTTGTCTTAGTCGTCTTAGTCAGCTTAGTTTGAGGTTCTTCATGATCTCTGTCTTTAAATTAATTTAATCTTTCTCCAAATTCTTTCAGTTATCCTCAGATTGGTTCTTTTGTCTCTTTTCACTGTTTCACTTTATTTCAGAGCATATCACCTTACCCTATATCCCAATCTCTTGTTTGGACTTGTTGCCCACACTATCCTTTCCTTCTGTTCTCTCTTCCAGCCAATGTGCACATTGATTTTCCTAAAACATGAACTTCTTACATGCTTCTAAGTTCCCAAATCAAAGGGAACTTGTGTGACAGTCAATGTCTTCTATAATCAGTTAAGCTCCTCACTGCTCATTCTTATTTCATCCTTACCTTCATGTCTTTGCTTACCATGTCCTTTCAGTTTTCAATGGCTAGGACTTTTGCTGGGAAGTAATGCTTTTTTTTTTTTTTAATGGGTTAATGCTTTAAGACTGACCTTTTTTTTTATTTTATTTATTTATTTATACAAGCACTGAGTACAGTCAGAAGCGCAGGAGGGTGAGAGAATTCACCAGAGCCAGAGCAGGGAGCAGAACAGGCAGAAGGACCAAAATACACTGCTGAGGGGAGCAGTGGGCAGCAGGAGAGGTCTGTGGGCCATGTGGGACCCTTGCCCGTCAACCGGAGATCGAACCGGCGCTGCAGAGGCTGCAGGCAGATTCGCAGCCCAGCACTCAACCGCTGCGCCACCAGGGGAGGCCCGGGAAGTAATGCTTTTACCTTGGTGTTCACAGAATTTTAGGATCTCATTTAGGATAGGAGCCATCCATAGAAATTCCATCCAAATAAAACTCTAATTAGCTCGTGGTTGGTTTCTTCATGTTTATACTTAGTGGACAGCTAGAAAGCACAAATAGAATTTTTCTGTTGCAAAATTTGAGAATCATAATCTGTAAGTAAGATCTTGTTTTGTTTTCCTCCTAGACACTTATAGCCACAGAGTGCCATTACACAAACCCACGGATTGGGAGAGGAAGATCCTGATATGGTCAGGTCGCTTCAAAAAGGAAGATGAAATACCAGAGACAATCTCGTGAGTGCAACTTAGGGTTGTAAGCAGCTCTTATATTTTTCACTGATCTGTTTTAAAGGAAAAACAGTTCCTCTGAGTCTGATTATCTAAAATCTTTCAAACAGATTTTAAGTTTTCACTGTGACAGGTGTTTCCTCTTTGGCAAGTACCTGGAATAACAACAGTGCTGACAGATCTGTCTCTTACCATTAATGTGGGAAGTGGATCCTGTCTCCCCTATAGGGCATCATACTGTGGAGAGACAGGGACTTGGGACAAAGCTCCTGGACATTTCCTTTTAGCATGAAACTATTCCTGGAACTTCTAGCTTCTGGTTTCAAATCATGATTGAAAAGGATCTGGGTTCATTCAGAATTTCTTTTTCCAGAGAGATTAGTAGTACTGCTTTTCTGCTTTCAACACATCCTTTCTGCTTCTGCCAAAGTAAATAACATGTTATTTTCACTAAAATTATGTCAGTAGGAAAGTACTTGGTCTTTCTTAGCTCAAGTGTACTCTCCTGGGAAATAAGAACACAATGGAAATAACATTGACATGAAGTTCTTGCTGATAAATTTCTCCCTGAATATCTCCAGGAGAAAACAAGTTGTTATAAATCCATGGCCCTAATAGGTGCTCAATTAGACTTTGCTGTGGAACACCACCATCAGTCTGCCATGTAGGCGGTTCCAAGATCCCTTCAAGTTCAATGTTCTATCTACTGAGTTACCTGGGAGGTTTGTCTCTAGGCTTAGGTAACTGTTTATCCGTATGTTGGTAGTTTTGAAGAGGCACTGCTTAACTTGCCCATTCTGATTATTCCCTGTAGAGTGGAGTGCAACCTCATGATCTTACTAAAATGAATTTTATGTTTTCAGTATCCCCTCAACTTTAAAATATGCTTTTCATGGAAATGCCAATTCATATTGTCTACATGGATAGTTTATGGCTGATGAATTATCAGTTGTCATTTGAGCAATTCACTGTCCTTAGCAGTTGTCCCTGGTTCTTACCACCCTGCAGACCCTGCTTTAGTGCCTGAAGAATTCTGCTCACATTACTAGCTCACTGGGTCCCAGTTCTTATATCACATTGTGTATGCTTTCAGGGTTCTTCTCCAGCGTCCCAGACCTTGTATCTCCTTCTAGGCATTAAAAAAATAACATGTATTCCCCATGATTTCAAAAATGGTATGTGTTAAAAACTAGGGGGAGGAGGTGGTTAAAGAAAGCACTCCAGTTGTGTCATCTAGAGAAAATCACTTCCTGTTGAGGAGGCCAGTACTCTATCCTGTGCCCATTTGAAATCCACATGGCCTGCCTTGAGGCTCTGACACTCAGGTAATAAGAGCCATGACCCACTGTCTCCCTGCATGATCAGCAAGGTGGAGAGGGGCCTTCTCCTTCACTCTTCCTTGTCAGGCTGCTAGCTTTCATACAAGAATGATCCAACTCAGCTCTCTGTCAAGGCACCTGGACTGCACTCTGCAGACAGGTTAAAGAGGCACTTGCCCTAGAGCACAGCCTCAAGTTCATTGTCACTTTTAGCAAAACATTAGTTAAAATATAAACTTTAAGAGAACATTGCTTAAAGATCTTTTTACTGTTACAATATTCTCAAATATATACCTGGTTTAAGTCAGAGAGCAAAAGATGGATATAGAGAGCAAATTGTTTAATTCTCCCCCATGTGTGTTTTCTTTCTTAATTGTGCTTTGTGTTGAAACTTAGGAAGTTCATTGAAGTATTCATTGTCAGAATGTTGTTTGACCATTTAACATCATGTAACATCTCCTAAGAACCTCAGAGAGAAATGACTCCTGGTTTCACTTTTAAGCATTGGTTGCTAATGTAAAATTTGAGCCTTGGTTGCTAATGTAAAAATTGAGATCTGGGCTTCCCTGGTGGTGCAAGGAGTTAAGATGCAACTTACGAAGCTATCCACAACCACTGCAGCACGAGTTCAATCCCCAGCCAGGGAGCAACCCACATGGTATATTTCACAGCAGTGAAATACAGCTAACCACAGCAGTGTACTTCGGTCAATCTGCCTGTTCTGTTCCCCACTCTGTCTCTGGTGAATCCTCTCACCCCCCGCACCTCTGGCCTGTACCCCAGTTCTTGTATGCATAAATAAATCTTAAAAAAAAAATTGAGATCTAAAATCAGGGCCAGCCATGACAAGCATAGATTAACATACATTGTTTTCTTCCCCTTTTTTGTTTCATTCCTGGCCACTTTGTCTTCATACCTTTTTCTTTTTTTCCCCACTTTAAATCTGTGTTATTTCACTGTGTTTCATATATAAACATGTAATAAGTTGTGGGTCTACAAGCCCCACTTCCTTTTTTATATTTACAGGCACTGCTGCACTTCTGGTTTGTGGTACACAGAGCTTTGTATCCTGGAAACATCAGAAAAATAAAAGTTAACTCTCTCTCATGATCTCCTTGTGTCTTTAGGTTTGAGATGCTCGATGCTGCAAAGAATAAGGTCCGGGTGAAGGTCAGCTACATAATGATCGCCTTGACAGTGGCAGGGTGCATCCTGATGGTTATTCAGGGAAAGCAGGTGAGAGTGAACTTTCTATGTAAGGAAGTTAGGGGTTGTTCCTTGTATATATTCTCTGAGAAAAGGAGGCTATTCTTTCTACTTTTTATGAAAGAAACAAAGACAGAGTAGATAGACAAATCTAGGGCATAAATTGCACATCCAACTTTTGGCAAGGTGGACAACTAGATTTCATATGAAGTAAAAAAAAAGTGCTTATTACACATATCATAAATAATGTGAAACAAGAATTAGGACATGGTGTACTTTGTGATAACCCCTTGCATGTCTATAGAGCACTCTCTACATGAGTTTATTTTAACCTAACTCTAACTGCCTTAATCCTGGTGAGTGTTCTTATCACTGTTCTTTACTTGAAGCTCAGCCCATCTGGGCTGTGTCTAAGGATCATCACTCCTAAGTGTCATATAGGAATTTAAGTCTAAAACTCTAACAAAGGTCATATTAACAACTGTCGCTGATGGAATACTCACTCTATTGTAGGAAGTTTACAGTTGTCTCATATTAACCTCACCAGAACACTGCAAGATAGGTAGTGCTATGAGGACCTCATTTATAGATGAGGTAACTATAGCTTTGAAAGCTTCAGTAAGTTGTCCATGGTCTCACATCTTCCTAATGCTAGAGCCACAGTTGAACCTAGCCCCGTCTAGTGAAGGTGACAGTAAATAGTTCCCATTTATTGAGTACTTTATTATATAGGTAAAAATTTAGAGCCAAGTTTGTAAGTTACTAAACTTGATAAAATATTGTCATATGATTGAGATAGTTATTTTTTTATGAAGCAGCACTGGTCACATCCTTGTTTTAATCCATTTCTGATACTGTATATCAGTGTAGAAGGAGATGTCTCACATCTTATATTCAGATATTTAAAAGGTTTTTAAATCTGATCATAGTATCCTTATTCTTATCTGCAGGAGTTCAGGGTAAAAGGAAATGAATTTCTGGCTGCTCAGTATTGCAGTTAAATGGAAATATTGGCCATTTAGGCTGCCCTTGTGGGAACAGAGGGCATGTGTGCAGACCTGGGTGAAATTCTCTTGACAACTCTACTGCTGTCCTACTTCAGTTTCTCTTTTTCCCACTTTCGCCTCTCCTGTTCTCAGATTGAGTAGAAGCAGCATGTGGACAGGACGTACAAGCTTCTGGAATTCCAAGTTTCATTGTTTTTGTATATTTGATTATACTACTGAGTTTAAGTACTCCAGAAAACAAATTTCTGCCCAAGGATCCCCTTTAGCATCATCCAGAGATATGCATTGTGTATTTTAAAGAGTTCCTTTCCCATTCTAGTGCATAAAATTGAACTATTCATCTTTTATAGAATTACCCATTTCTAAAAAATTAGTAAATACTATTGAATTGGAGAAAATTTTAACAATACAATTTGGAAGAAATTAGCCATTGTATGTTCCATCCTCATCATCAGGTACCATTCTACTCTCCTTCCTCTCTCCATACTCATACCTAATTCTTTACATATGAAATTACAGATACAAGAAAATGCTACCTTATAGGGGCCTACTTTAACTTTACTTGGCATAGTGTGTTTAAGTTTCTCAGAAATGCACCAGGTCACATGGAAGAACAAGGGAAGAGAATGGTTCCTGTTTGCCCTCAAAAGAGGTAGTAGTAGGGTAGATACTGCTAGAAGTCATCTGTAGTATGCTTTGGTAGTTTGGGCTTTCCATAGCTGACTATTTTTGGTAAAGAGGAAAAAGGAGCTACAGGGGTGTGATAGTACACAATGAGCTGGGGAAGGATAGACGGTAACAAAGAAAAAAAGGACAGAAAGGGAAATAAGGTAGTTGGAAAAAGGGAAAGCCGGGATAAATTGTAATGGGAGACTAGAAGACTGACAAGTCACAAAGAAGAGAGCTTGAGGTGTGGTATGTCTCCCTTACATTTGAACAGATGGTCTATTGTGGAACAGTGAAGCAAGGACTCACAGGCGGGCACCCCCCGCCCCCTGTGTCCAGTGCGTGAGCATCAGAGCAGTCCATGCCTTCACTGCGCTAGTTCACCTGCTGCCGTCAGTCCTCCCCAAACTGGCATAATCACCTGTTCAAATTTTTTTCACTGTAGGCTGCAAAAAGACACGAGTCTTTAACAAGCATGAATTTAGAAAAGAAAGCACGTCTGAGAGAGGAAGCAGCTATGAAGGCCAAAACAGAGTAGCGGAGGTATCTGTGTTGGCTGTATTTTGAAATCCAGGATAATGCTGCAGCAAGAATGTGGTGTAAGGATCCATTTCCTAAAAGTATGGTTTGCACAAATTTATACCATTGCCCTATTTTTGCTCTGGAGGTACAAATAAATTTTCTGAAAGAAATGACTTGTCTGTACTTTATGGCTTGATCCAAGTTAAAATGCAACCTCTCAGCTTTTTGGAGAAAATGAATGAAAAATGAGATAGTGTGTTTCAACTTTTTTGTTGTTGTATTTCAATTTTCATATTAACTCTCTTTTTAGAGTCAGGTGCCATATCTTACTTTAAATCCTATTGCCAAAATAACTTTACCTAGATGCCAAAGTGACGTCTAGTTCTGTGTTTCCCTCTTAACATCATTTCTGGGGAAAGTCAGTTGAGTACACGGCTCAGGTGCCCCATAAAGAGCCAACCACCCCCTGTGCAGTGGTGCTTCTCAGCAACCTGGGAAGCATCCGAACCCACTTTGCCCTCTTGGGGGGTGGGGCAGCAGACAAGCTTTTAGGAGAACAGTGTTTGAAAAAGTCTTGCCAGGGTGATGGGTACGGTCTGACCATGCGTTTCTGAGGACTTTGAAATCCCAGCATCACTTACACCTGGTATGTATCTTATTTACACTTTGGGGTGCCAAGTTGTCCAGTGTGAATGCAGGCTTTTAAACATTTATTCTCACATGCTTCATGTGTATTTGTGGATGACAAGTTCTCATAGCCATCCTAACCTGCTAGTTCTCCCCAGAGGGTTATAACACATTAGAAAGTAATAGCTACAGTTGTTTGGGAACTCAGTTTAATAAAACCAATCTATAGCTTTATAATCCATCTGATGGCATTAATATCTGTGTATGTACTTTGAGTAATTTAACCTTAGCTTTTTTTAGATACTACATTCCTTGACTGTTACCACTTGCAAATTTATCAAAAGGAACTGCTTATGTATTATCAGATTTCTTAATTATTTTGGCACACTTATGAATGTTGTATCTTAACTAATACAGTATTTTAAATATGGGTAAATCTTCGTGTATTTCTTTTAAAATAAAGTATTTTCTCTTCATAGAATAGTATTTTCTCTTCTGAAGAAACATTTGTTTTATCTTGGAAATTATAATAAAAATGTTTCATTAAATCAGAGCACACCAATGTTACCATGCAGTATGAGTTTATATAATTTTTCATCTTGTGTCATTCCCCTGTTCTTTAACTATAGTGACTACCTCTGTATGGGTTAAATGGGAATTTCTTGGCCAGAATTTCAGACTTGTCCATAGCCTTATCTAATCACATCTCTCCCAGTGTCCTAACATTAACAACTTAATCATACCCCAGTATTTCTCAGAACTTTCACACAAATCTAATTAGTATTCTTTTAAGATAAAGATACAAAGGAACTACGACAATTTTTCCTGTGTTGCTTTGTTAAATTACGCTATTTTTTGCTTAATTTGGAGATATACTTTTGCATGTTTATCATGTTTCCTCAGGTAAAGTTTTCCACTCTGTATTTCCTAGAAGCCCTGTTTGAATAAAGTGAGTATGTGTAAGGCTGTGGTCAGATACATTTTAGTCAATAGTATAGGGTATTGATAACTAAAATTTATTGAAAGCAGGTGGGGAATCAGTGAAGTTGTAGTCCTGGCATCATTATCATTCATCCAACATTACTGGAGTCCCTTCTATGTACAAAAACCAAGAATACAAAGATGAGTAAAACATACTTCTTAACTGCAGACCTGGCATGTATCTTATTTACTGGAAACGTGGCCCATGAAACCAATACACTATCAAGTGGTAAATGATATGTCTTGATCTTTATATATAACAAGTTATGGAAAAAGGAAGTAAACCTAACTTGGTTATCAACTGTGGTTGAAGTCAGAGAAGCACTGATAGCTCCACAAAATGGTGATTTCTGAGCTAAGTGTGAAACAGAAGTGAGTAGATCTGACAGAAGGGAAGAGAGCACCTTTAACATTCAGACATTTAGCTTGCCTGAAGATCATGGGGGCACAACCTGACAAGGTAGTAAGAGGGCCTTCAGGAAATGCCGTTTTCAATTTTGATCTTTGTAACAACTTAGTTTTTACTTGGAATGAACCTAAGCATGACTTATTTCCCAATTTGCACACTTGATTCTATGAACCATTTTATGTCCAGTTTGTGGGCTATCACCTAAAGTTGGGGGTGGCAATTAATACACATCTCTAATCTTCCACAATCTCCGGCTTATGCTTTTACTCATCTAAGCTCCCAGATTTTGTATTACAAATTTGTATTACAAAATTCCTTGCTCCTTCTTAAGTTGTCTTGTGAACCTTACTACTAAATATTTCTCAAATATGAAAATCCTCTAGTCTTTAAGCGGAAGTGAATGGAAATACATGGAGATAGACACAAAAGATTCTAACAGACCTCGAGATTAAGTCAGGCACCCTCAGTTCTAGCTCTGCTTTCCAACCATCTTGCTTTGTAAATTTAGAATGTAAGTCTTAATATCTTCTAATCCAAGATGTTAAAAAAAAAATCCAAAACCATTCCAAATTAGGAGAAACCACCTTTTAAAGTATGCAACTTTGCCAACTTGGCCATACTAATTTGATTTTTAAAGGATTCAGTAATTACTTATCCACAGTTTAATTGTTTTGTCATTTTCTAATGCTGCTGATGCAATGATATTTTCTGTAGGGTGACAAGCTGCTGAGATTACAACATCTGTATGACCTTGTAGTGTCTGTACAATCTCTTTAGTCTGAAGGTTCCAAATGTAAACTAGGTTATCCTCTGAACCAGATACAATCCACTTTCCACCAGTAACTGAGAAATTAGCAAATATACAATATTTCTCATTCTTATGGCCAGTATATGTCTTCAGGCATCTGCCTCTGCTATAATCCCACAGTTTAAGAGTGTTGTCCAAAGTTGCAATGAGGATATACTTACCATTAGGAGAAAATTTTACAAAAGAGATAGGAGGGTTATCATCATCCACAAGTGTTTTTAAACACTGACCTGATGCAGTATCCCAGATTCTACAGACACCATCATAGCTACCTGACACTATCAAGGACCCCTTACAGTTAAAATGAACAGCAGAAACTGGGTCAGAATGAGCAGACAACGTTTTAAGACACATTCCTGTTTTCACTTCCCATATCTTCACACTTTCATCAAAAGATCCTGAAACAATGAGATTGGATGGTGGATTGAAATTACAGCAGAAGACATAATTATTGTGCACCTTCAACGTTTTCAAACATTGTCCAGATCCCACGTCCCAAATCTTCAGAGTCTTATCATCAGAGGCAGAAACAAGAAGACTGGAATCTGATGACCAGGCAACATCTGATATTTCCAGAGTGTGACCATAAAATGTTTTCTCATGTTTTCCATCATAAGCTCCCCAAATTATAATTAATTTATCAGCAGCAGAACTTGCTAGCCATTCTCCATTTGGACTAAATTTAACTGATGATACTGCTTCCGTATGTCCCAGAAGAGTAAATTTGAGAGCATAGTTTGTTTTTTCAGACACTTGCTTGATCTGATCGGCTGATGAGAGGGCTAAATCTGCTTTGGCATCTCCTGACCCCTCAGTTGCCATGGCTCTGAAGCTCCAAACCTGGCTGGCTAGGGGTCACGCCCTGAACCAGGCAGACTGGTGTCTTGGCTTTCTGCCCAGCAAAATGAAGATAAAATCAATGCACCCAAAAACACACGGTCTTTTAATAATTATAATTTCTGGATCGTTTTTACGATAATACACTGATTTGGAGTACGTCCTGGACCACTTCAATTTTTCCTCTTCATCCTTTGTAACAAATACATAAGAAATATTATTAAAAGGGTCCTAGGCGTTGCCAGCCAAAAGGTTTTAATGTCGGGTATCTTGCGAATGCATAAAACCTTCCAAAGAGACGCCGAGGGGGCCGAGCTGAGCTCGGTCCAAAGTATTTTTCAGCGCCCCTCCCCCCAGCTCCGAAATGTTTCAGAAGAGTAAGCGACCCTACCAGTCACACAGACTCTAGGTACCTGAGCAGTGCTTTAAACAGAAGATTTCAGAAGCTAAGAAAAAAAACCTACGTAGGCACAGTTATTTGAGGCTCGTGCTGGGGGCTACATTCTGCAGGCTGACGGGTCCAGACCGCCGCGTCCATCAGGAACCCAAAGGGAAGAACGATTGTGCGCATGTGCAGAGGGAGACCCAGCAATACTTCCGGGCCGAGATAACCAATGGGAGAGGCGTGCCCGCGCTTGCGCAGAAGGCGGCTTCCGCGTTTTCTTCCGCCTCGCTCCGCCGTCTCGCCGCGGGGGGCCGCTGGACTGTCAGAAGCTCCGACCCGGGAAGTGACTGCGGCTTCTGCCGAACCTCACCGGCGGCGTGGAAGGCAGTTAGTATTTCCCAAACCATTCACTTGTTTATGAAAACTGACACGAGAGAGGAGTGCTTGTCCGAAGCCCTTAGCCGCGGGGGTCAGCGCACGTCTGGCACGGGAGCGCCCCGGGCGGAGGGCGCTTCGTCCCCGCGGCTGGCGGGGTCCGGCGCGGCGCGGGCGGCCCGGTGTGGCCTGCTGGCCAGGTGTCGGCTGGCCCGGTGTGGCCCGCTGGCCCGGTGTCGGCTGGCCCGGTGTGGCCCGGTGTCGGCTGGCCCGGTGTCGCCCACTGTCCGGTGTCGGCTGGCCCGGTGTCGCCCGCTGGCCCGCCGGCGGTGCAGTTCTGCTGCCGCTCCTCGTGCAGAGCCTGGCGGGTGCTCCCTAGGCTGCGGGTAGGCGGGGAGGGTGTTGCTGAGTTTATACTCAGATGGCAAGACATCTGGTTTAAAGTTTTCCCTAAACGTTTCGGGAAGGGTAAGATGTTAAAGGGCCTTTGCTGACCAGCGTGTAGCAGCTTCCTTGTGGTTTAAACTCCCTGAAAAATGAGGGAAAGGAGTTAAGATCCGTACAGGAGCTTGAGACAAAAGGGACAAAAGTTGGTTTAAATACTTAAAAAGTTGGTTAAAAATGGGTAAGATTACTCATAATTAGGTTTTAGAGAAATTTCCCTAATTTTAAGGAATATTTTATATTTTTATATTAATTTTTTTTTTACATCATTGTTCATTTTTAAGCAATATTTGCTTCCCCCTACCCCCTTAAGGAATAATTTATGGTCGTTCAAGTATCAGGTAAACCTACAGGCTATTCAGACGTAAGCTTTAAAGACATTGAAAGGAGAATTAACTAGATTTACCAAAATACTGCAAGCTTGGTAATTGGTAAATAAAGAATACCTGAGAGACGCAGTAAGTGTGCTGTTTAAAAGTCAGAATTGAAGTCAGGAGGCAGATGTCTCACATTTTCTATCAAGTATTTAAGCATTTGGAAACAAGGGGTCAGATATGCTATTAGGGGTAATTGAAAGTCAAGACACAACAGCATAATTATGTCCTCTGTTTTAATTGACTGTAGTTAAAAAACTTCATTACTTGAAGACTACTACTCTACTTTGGAATTTAGGCAGGAAGTGGATGCTTTCGTCTTATTAGTGGAAATTAGTGGTCTAAGCACAATGAGGAAGGGCTGGGAATGGGAAGAACATCTCTTAAAACAGCCCCAAGCATTCATGTATACATTAGGATTTTCTGGCTATTGGCAAGGACATGCTGCACCTCCCTTCCGTAACATTTTTTATAAAAGAAAACTTTCTCCCCCATTTTCTTAAAGTTCAATTTTTTTATTATTTTTTTTTTACTGGAACTCTTAGAAAGTCTAACGTCATCAACTGAAACTATTCCCATTTTTGTTAACTCATTAAAAGTAAATTTTAAAGCACTTCAGAGGAAAAAATTCTAGGCTTTGTTTCAAAGAATTTAAGTTTTTCCAATAACTGCTCTTGGAAAGAAATTAAACAAACACATGACAAGAAGACTAGGATGGGGTGTTGGTGCTGGAACACACGTAGCCCACTAGAAATACAAACAGGGATATTGGGGTACACAGTTAAGAATGCATCATAGGAGTATCCAGAAATTGTTTTTGAGATTTCCCCAGAATTTGACTCAAGCAATTTCCAGCATCCCATTTCTTGATGTCACAATTTGTTTACAAATAAACATCAGGAACTTGAGTAAAGAACATTAAATCTGTGAATGTAACTAAAATCTTTATTCATTAGTTGTGTTGTAAAACTATTATGTAGTCCTAATATTGCAGTCCTTATGAAATAGAATTTCAGGTTACTTCCTGGGGGGGGAGGGGAGCAACACACACAGTGGCGTGTGTGCAGGTATGGAGCAGGGAACACAAATACAGGTGAATCCAAAGTGACAAACCAAAAAGACTTGGATTTGGGATCCTTGAGCAGTGCCTTATATGGTGCTGCCATTTTTAACAACTTCTATCTTTGCTGCCTTTAATGAAGTAATTAGGAAGTTTCTCTCCCTATAGAAATTAGCTTTCAAGTTTCCCGTACAAGTTTTAGAACTGGAAATCTCATGTGGTTGACTTATTACTCACCCTTCAGTGTAGTTTTCAAATAGTCTAACAAATGGATTTTTATTTTTAAAAAATTGTCAAACCTAACCATGACCTGGAAGTGATTACTATATTAAGGAATGTTGACATCTTTACTAGACTCGTTACCAAATGCAGTCCTCAAAAATCAAGATTAATAGAACTATGCTCTTTTTTCCTATCGAGTTGCTTAAGACCACTTAGCCATTTAAATATATGAAAATCTAGTCAGGTTAAATATGGGCTGGCTATTTATTGTGTAAACTGAGACACTTGAAAGTCTCTAAAGTTATTAGTTGTTAATCTAAAAATTGGACTGTCCCTAGCAAACCAGTAGTCACTCCTGTTTCCTGAGGATTGTCTTCACAATTTACAACTTAATCTTGAAAAATTCTACTCTTTATATAGTGGTTACACCCTAGCCTGCTCAGATCTCTCAACCCCACCACTGTGGTCTCCCCCACCGCCCCTTACACATCTCTCGAAATAATGGTGGGCCCAAGTGGTTTAGATAAGCCTGTCACCTGTAATGTGGGCAGCCACTGAACTCCATTGGCTTCCTCAAGTTAAGTGGGTAGATAAAAGGGTGTATAGGAGTAATTTTATTCTTTGCAAAAGCATTAAGGGTCACAGAAATGACTTTACAGTAGTATTTATATTTTTAAATTGGAAAATAATATTTTCACACCAGCAAATGAGATAGGCACAACAGTGATTTAAGCTAGTTTTAATAAACTGGTAAGCCCCCAAATTTTGTATATAGATGGCTGTGGTCTGCAGGAACTTAAGGTTATGTTTCACTTTAATAAAGATTTAGTTTTCAGGAAAAAAAAATGCCTGCCAGTGGAATCTCGAAAATGGTGGTAAAACAATCCTAGAATGAAGAAATACACCACTTTGTTTTTACTGATCTGTCACTTAAATTGGAGGAATGGGTAAAGAAATTGCCTATTTCAGGGGAGGTGGGGAAAAAAAAAGATAAATTGCATATTCACATGCAATAAACAATGTATGTGAAAAATTCCTACCTAGCCTAAGTCACCTTCCACATTAGTTGGATTAATTAGCAAGAAGTTTTTTTCCCCTAGTGTTAGACTATGCCATATTGATGGGCTATTTTTAGTATATATAAACACATTAGGTTGATTTTATATTAAAACATACTGCCTTTTATCAGAGAGCATAGCTTTTTTTGTTTTTATATAACCTCTCCTATGACAGTGTTTGCTTTTGTAAACTTTTCAGATTATGACTCCTGAAAGGTTACACAAAAACACATGTTGCATGCCTGCTCAAAGAGTTTAGTCCTGGTTTCAAACAGCACATAAAGGAAATTTCTTTGAACTTTTTTTTTTTGGTAACTAAGTACCCTTGGCTAATATCTCAGTCCCTTAAGTATTTCATGTCTGCTTACTGCAAGGTCTTCCCCAAGGTGCTCATCACATTCAAATACAAAGAATCATTAGAACCATTCAAATGAAAGCTTCTCAGAGTACTTTGAAAAAGTTAGAGAATAGTCAAAATGATGTGGTAAACCCAACATATTCAGTGATCTTTTAACTTGACTAGTACAGTGTACCTTTAGGAAGTCAGTTGTGTTAAATTCACATCTATGGCACTGTTTTCCTTGAGTGAAAGTCTTTACTTCTGTGTCAGTACCTTCTGCATTTGAGTGTTAAATGAAAACATTTCCGAGTTTAGCCATTACATTAAACTTAACATCAGCATTTGGCTTTTTTTTTTTTTTAACTTCTGCTGTTTTATCAGGTCATTCAGAATTTTAGCACCACAGAAAGAGTAAGATGTTGGTAGATACTCTGAGAGGGTGTAGAGGCCAGTAGATGTATCTAGGGGCAATTTATGTATGAAGTTAATCATTTTTAAGGGTGCTGATTATGAGGAAGTGTGAACAAGAATGATCCAACAACAAAAAAGAGCTGGTCCAGCTGTGGCTGTTTTAAGTTCTTTCTAGGAGTTCCTGGCTGAGAACACCTCCAGGACTACTACTGTTTTTCAAGACACATATGCTGGGCTCTTCCCCATCTTTGGGCAAACAGGGTTGCGACCTTGGTAGTCAGTTCTTCTGGCCTTGACTTTTGTCATCTGTGACATTGTGACAATTATTCACCTCAAAGAACAGTTGGAGAATTAAATAATAGTGAAAGCCAGAGGAGAGGCTCAAAGACAAGCCTTTATTTAACCTATAGGAAAATAATTTCTTAGCCCACCTGTACTTGAAACAAAACCTCATCTATTCTTCCTTTATCCCAACCCTCCAGTAGCAATTTGATATTTTTTAAGTTAGGATATCACATTCTTCTGATACCTTGGCACCCACTGTTATTACCTTACCTTTTATGCCAATAAGGGATATTACAGAATATTCTCCCCTTAAGCAGACTTATTGCACTGGTGTTACCTTTTTAAAATAACTACCAGCAAAAAAAGGTAGCCCAACCTATTTCCCAATGGGTCACTTATTCTGTTCATCTCACAACAGAAATGGCTGTTGATTTCAGATGGCAAGAAATTCAAACGAGTAAATCTACTGAAAAGCTAACAATGCCCCATTCTAAAAGTGGATTTTCCTTTACTGGACATCATCTTTTGACATCACAATTTCCATTATGTATAAAAAGCCCCAAGCTTTAGAATAGCTATGACTTACCACCTACTGATTAAAA